AATGAACCAAATATTCACAGAACTTGCGAAACTTTTATTTCACGTCCCATAAAATGAGAAAAATACAGATGGAAGTTACATGCCGGTTGCTTTCCCTTGCTTATATCTCCTCTAGAGAAATGAAAGAAACAATTTTCTTTAACCGGGGCAACAGAAATGAATACATACTGCAAATGTAGTCGATAGCTTAACAAAAACGCAACAACTAACCCGTTTCCACGGAGCTCTATTTTTGCAGCTTCTTATTCCAAAATACGAGTATACTCCATTTGTATTCTTATTATTTACCACGTTATCATTTGTCTTCATCATCACCATCATAACCTCTGTCGTGCCGGTGAAACTCAATGATCCACGTTGAGATCTTAACTTCATACTCGCATCGATTGAAACTGAGTATTAGTGATTGGAATTTGTGGGTCGAATTAAGCTATTGCCAGCTAGCAGCGACTCCAGGCCTGGACTGATTATTATTTTTTTACCCACGCCTGGAGTAAGGTTGACATGTAGCGAGCATGAAGTATTCCCATAACCGTACTTAGGTTATTTGGCCTGCGAGTGCTTTCTTTCGATTTACATCTATAGATACGAAGACTTTTTGTTATAGAAAGCTAGAGCTTCATTTTTGCCCCGATTGGGGCATTTTTGCCACCGCCTCACAGAAAGCTATCAGGCTGTCCATGAGCCACCCGAGGGGCACTGAAACTCAATAAGGAACTACGTCACGAATTCTGTCAGGGCGTGCCCAGAGACTAATCGCGAGGGCAGTGGCTAGGCCGAGGGGCACAGAAGCGCTTCACATCGTGGGGTGGCGGCTCTCGCTTTCTCCCTGCGCCTGCACCTGCTCCGGCCGCCGAAGCACCCAGGAACCGGCAGTGGGGTCGCTCCCCCTCCCCCGGCTCCATCAGGACCCACGGGGATGGAGTGAGCGAACACACCACGCTCACTACATACCCCTAATCTTTGACCACCAAATCACCAGCCACTTTAGGAGCGATTTGTGTAGAACAAATATGGAACATGACGTGCATTTAATTAGTTTCTAAAATGGCTTGTGTGTACTGAATTCTTAGAGCACATTATAAAATTAATATTAGCAAAATAATTAGACATACGAACACATGAATAACTGTGCCAGACATGTCGAATTCAAGGCAGTGTTTCATTATAATTAAATCGCATAATATATTCCTAATGTTTAAAGTGTAAAACTAATACACAGGAACTTGCAATGTAATAGAAATATAAAACTTCGGAAATTTTTTATAAAGGGGAACAAATAAACAGATTTTGAAAGAGTTCGTGGCGTTCCAAATTTTCGTGAGGATATTTTGGATTCGGTAGCCAAAACAATCTTCAAAATTTGAATTACACCATCTTGGTTATTATATCGTTAACATAAGAAATGTAAGAATTCGTACCATTATGAATGCTGGATGTTCTTTCTGAAAATTCCAGCAACTTTCGACTTTCCCGTCCTATGCACGCGCAGATCACCCGTCCCCTGGATTCCGCTTAGCGGTTCCGTTCTGGGTCGAAGCTCAGGTAGAACCACAACATCATCGCTGCTCCGTCCATTGCCGCCGTCGCTGATGTCTCCGTCCGTCCTCTGGTCGCAAAACAGCGCAGCTAATCGACCACTTTCTTCCGCCGCGGCGCGGCGGTCGCACCGGTCCAACGGCGTTGGCAGCGCGGCCGCTCACCCGCTCACCCCTCCGCCGCCACCGCTGCGAGAAATAGACGCACTACTCCGACCCTGCAGCGACGGCGGCCTTCATAATCAGTCACTCGTCAACTGCTTGATCACCCGCTCGCCCCATCATACTCTCACTCGATCACCTGAAAACTCTCTCACTAGATCACATGCAAACTTGCTGCACCTGCTCTCTTGATCAAACGCTCACCCGATCACTTGTTAGCTTGCCACTGGTCTGGATTGACTGATTTATTAGTGATTCTGGGCGCGTCATCGGTTACGGACAATTGTCCCGCAAGTGTACTGCATTTTTTCTCGGGAGGTAGCTGTGATCCCCCCCCCCGCTGAATGGTGAGATCCGACGCTGACCTACCGTCGGCTAACAGGATTTTCCCCAACCAGGTATCCCCCACCACTTCCAAAGCCGGGACAAGCTATAAGCTAGCAATACCACGCCTCGCGCCACCTCGCAAAGGCGAGAGCGAGGTAGAAAGTGAGGGAAAGAACATGGACGAGGGCAAGGTCGATGGCGAGGAGATGGCAAGGAGAAGGCGAGGGCGAGGGCCAGTGAGAGGGCGAGAGGGACGGGGAATATGAGAGCGAGGGGCAGGGTGAGAGCGAGCGAGGGCGATGGAGAGGGAGAGGGCTAGGGCAACGGCGAGGGCGAGGGCGAGGGCGAGGGCGAGGGCCAGGGCCAGGGATAGGGCGAGGGCCAGGGATAGGGCGAGGGCCAGGGATAGGGCGAGGGCCAGGGATAGGGCGAGGGCGAGGGCGAGGGCGAGGGCGAGTTGGCCTAAGCACAAGAGTACCCTGCTGCATTTCGCGCGATGAGAGGTTACGAGCACTGCATTCGTATCTGTCTGAGTGGCTGCGGTGCCTCAGTGCAGGCCGCGCAAACGAGAACAAGTTAGGAAACAGGTGGTGAGTACTGCACTTCTCACAGAAACGATCCGGCGCGTCCAGCGTCCATCCTGCCCAGCCGGAATTCGGTGCCCAGCACATTTGACCTGAGGGGGATGGCACGTGTTTGCCCGGAAATGGTTCATTCACCCCGAGGAAACCGGAGAAGACAGCAGTCTCTTTTTATACACTATATAAGATGAATACGTATTATTTAAATGAATACGTATTATTTAATATATGAATTTAAATGTAATATATATTTATATAAACATTTTTTTCTGAAAGGGATAAATCTAACAAAATTCATCTGAAATGTAAATATGACAGTGAAGTGTTCTATTGAAGACGTTGCCGCTCATACGTTCGTAGACATCTTCTGTTTTAAACATTTTAAACTTTTAAAATAATGCGTAACACTTTCTTGTACTTCCTGTGTTTTCTGTCTGATATCTTGACACAAATAACTTACAATATTGCTTTCTTCTATTATCTCTTGCGTTCGATATTAAAATACAATAGATATTGAATTTGCATCTGAAATAGAACTCTTTATCTCTTAAGTCTACAATGAGAATGTCATTATTTACTCAGAAGAATGTTTCAAATACAGCAATCAAATTGCAAAAAATCGCAATAATTTCCACTTCTAATACAAGAAGGCAGGCGGAGGGAAGCGCGTTCATTGGAACTCTCCTTTTCTTTATACATGCAATATGCACATTTCACGAAATAATCTTTAAAACTATAATTCTGGAAATTTATATATTTTCTGATGTTCTTTTACCATTCTGTCGTAACATTACTTATCGATAATGGCGTGTGTGCCAGAAACGACCTGTTATTTAATATTTCGTGTTTTGAAGTACGTACAGAACGCAATGATAGCTTAGGCTTTAGCTTAGGGCTTTCTTTTATTTGTTTTATAATCGGGTAACAGCATTTATAAGAGAAACCGTTAGCTAAGTAGTCAATGTTCTACATTGTACGTTATGAGGTCTTTGCGTTGAAACCACACCTCATCTTACGAGTTGTCGGGTCCGGAAGATGACTCGCTCACAATTTTGCTCAGTCCGCCCTTCCTTTAGTGGAAAATGGCTGCCACTTGCCCCCACCTGGAAGAATGTCAAGCTCGTCTCGGCCTGCAGAGAACCAAGCGCTCCCATTGTGCGACGCTTCCTGGTGACGCTGCGGAGCAAATTTCACTGCCCCAATTCCTTTCCAACTTCCTGCATTTTCTGGATGACAGCTGGCTTAGAAGTCAAGCCTAAGGCATTCCCCGTTTAACTGCAATGACAGGACCACTCCCGCCGGAACGGAAGTCAAGTAATTCAAATTTTAAAGTTATGTAGGACACTTTTATCATTATTACTATTATCGTACTCTCTTCCTTGTTAAGTTGACTACCTTCAACTTTCAAGGAATTCTCTTGGGGGTGCAAAGTTTCAGACTGCGAAACATTGTCAGAATATGATTTTCGTAAAACGGTTGACTACACAGTACTGCCATTTGAATCGTTCACTGAAATCCAACAAAAGTAAGAACTCTCAATACACCATCCTAATCATTAATTGATATAGTATTCTATGCAACCATATCGTGCACGTAATTACAAGTTGCGTACCTAATTAAAGCAGATAACTGCAACGGCAACTGCTCTACGTTTGTGTGGTTGTTGTCGTCGATGTTACGGATGTGTCTGATGTTAAGTACGAATGTTTTCATCTCCTGGTTGTCGGATGGAAGAAAAAAGTAAATTACCACGTATCCCATTATTTACCTTTTCATAACATCCAAACGATGTCAGCGCAGTACCATTTTCCGCTCTTAGTCATCCGGTCCTTCTGACATCCGCCAAGGGAATGGCGCCGCTATCCAACCACCGTTAGAAATAATTAATCTGGTTTTTGAACGCCTTCCTGAATGGTCAATTTAATTTACTGATGTTGTGGTTCTTGCATTATTCATTGTAAACAGATAGTGCGCCTAATATTAGATGTCTGAAGAAATGAAAGACCTCAGTGTATTTTGAGGAAGTGTCATGTCGTTTTGACGGAAGATTTACTGCATTGCAAGTTTGAATGTAAATTACTTTCTACTTATTTTTCATACTCTCTTGCGAAGGAGGATAAGTACTTAAGTACATATCAGTGATGAAAGATTTGCATGCACTGCAGACGTTATCAACGGACTATTTAAGTTTCGCCCTCAATATCGCTTTACTTTCGTCATAATCATAGAGTATATCAAATTGCTTATATGGACTACAATCCCACTATTACATGTGCGAAAAGAAACTTAATAAGGTATATAAATGAGAGAGTTTTTTATGTAGTACTTGTTGCGTATGTAATATATTTTCTTTAGTTTTACATTTCAATAATTATTTTTTGTCTTGTTGCAGGTAAGACTACATAGAAGTACACCAAACATCCATCTTTATCGCGAGAAAGAACTTTACGCACCGTGTGACAGTTAAGTACTCTATGTTCAATCGTTTCTTGTAATGCATCCGGCGTATAAAATGCATTGGGATAATTTTATTATCAAATATTTTGATGAAGTCCATTATTCGTTCGAATACGATATGATAGTGGCGATGGCGCCCCATATGAATTCACATTAACCTCCCTGTGTCTAAAGGGTGAGATTTGGCAGCTAACCAATATGATTTGTCCATTACATCGCACTGTCACGTGGTCATCCTTCTACGTGAGTTAAACGTTATTTACATATTGTAAAATGCATGAAAAATTATGGCAATTTAAATGTTTGTTCTGTCAGCGACTTCTTTCAGGGACACAGTCGTGATGCGGACTTTCCGTCTTATCCCTTTAACAGGATGACTTGGTTTTTAGTTGCGGGAGGGGCAGAGGTGTCATGTGAAATTGCATTGAATAGGGTCAGTCTTGGAATTGGATCACGGAGAGGTGCTCTAGTGGCTACATTGTTGTCAGGTACTTAGCGACCGTCAATGATCATGCTCCGTAAACTAACTTTACCATAAACAGCGAAGGTAATACAACGAGGCATGACAATCATTCTTAGAAAAGGCATTCAGTGAAGTATGCATTGGTAGACATTTTCTTCTATACTCATAGGTGGGATTTGCGGAATCTTCCATTATCGGGGCGCCACACCAGCCAGGTCCAGATTCCGAACTGGTCCCCGTCCTAGTTTACAGTGTAGTCCTTGTAAGTGTGTGTGTGTGTGTGTGTGTGTGTGTGTGTGTGTGTGTGTGTGTGTGTGTGTGTGCGTGGAGTGTGTTTGTTTAATGAAGGAGGATGGGACAATGATGAGGAAGGACAATTCGTACACGGTCCATGGCCGGTTCATTAATGTACGGCTTGAGCTTTCGCCCAATATTGATGGAAGAAACTGCGACACTTCTCGTCCTCAAATCAGCTAATTTCCACTCAGCTATTTCGCAAATGGCAAAAAGGCGCCAGCGTGTGGTCCGAAACTTGGAACCTCCCGGTCAGTGACTCTAAGGAGGCGCGGAGTGTCGGCGGAGGCGCCCATCTTGGGATGCGGCGCCCGGGGCTAAATTTCTCCTTCCCCTCCGCGTCTCGCGTGCGCGATCCGTCCCGATTCGGCCCCCGCACCCCTTCTCCGTCTCCCGGCGGCGACCCACATCCCCCCCGGCGGCGCGGGCGCTTCGGGCATGAAGCGGCTCTCGGCGCTCCCACGGCGCGGCGCGGCCCACCGCCCACCGCCCACTCGAGCAAGCGCTCCACTCAGCCCAAAAACAACATTCAGATCTTCTGGTTTTGTACGTACACTTGTATATAAACAATCTAGGTGGCGTGGAGAAGTTCCTTGCCTTAGCTTTAGACTTTAAATAATAAATAATAAATAATAAATAATAAATAATAAATAATAAATAATAAATAATAAAAAATAAATAATAATAATAACAACAACAATAATAAGTATCAATTAAAGAGAATTGCGTGAGTATATAAAAACTATCCGACCGATTTCCCTATTTTTCACAATTTGTTCTTTTTAGTATCGGAAGTAATTAAAGAGATTTTTTTAATGAAATCGGACATATGGAGCGTTTGTTTTTGCAAAGTTAATCGACGAGGACTACGACATTCCCAAAGGGCCCTTGCTGAAGTGCGATTTAAGGATATATTTTTGAACTACATGCCTTGCTTGGAATGTTTTGCCACTGTTAGCAATTTTAAATGATGTCTTTTTAATATATGTTTTGTAATAATCAATTGTGATTAATAAATAGCTAATTTAATTTTGCCTGTTATGGATGATCTTATGATTCAGAATATTAGTATTTAGAGACGAATTCATTAATTAAAAATCACTTAACATCAACTGCTGGGGCTGACGTGTCCTAATCTTTCTCATCCGCGTGAGTTTTCGTGAATGTGTCTTGTATTGAAGGTTGGTAATTGATTTAGTATGTTATTGGACGATATTCAAGAAATTATCAAGAGAAAAAACAGAATTCGAAGAAGTTACGGTTTTACGAAGGTCATCCCCAGAGAACACTGATCTAAGTAACACAGCATTGCATCGGACTCGCGAATTCTTAATTTCATAGAACAAGCTTACCCAAAATCTTAAAATGAAAACATCCTTCTCCAAAATCCCCATAAACTCTTATTCAAATACGTAGGCGAAATAAAGGACACTTATGAGTATAATAATAGAAAAGCATTCATACAATATTTTATATTACTAAAATCTGAAGCAAATGTGTTACTACGTACGGAAAGTTGTGTTGCAGAAAAATATCAGTAAATTACGTTGTTGTTTCATCATTGTGTTACCTAAGATAATAATACAATTTGAAGAGCTTTCATATTAATAATTATATTACCAGAGGATTGGATACAGTCTCGATTACAGTGAAAGGTGCAAGTGCATAAAACCGTAAATGAATTCATCTTCTAGGAGGAATATAACGATCAAGATTTAAAACAAGAAACTGTTCTACTTAAAATATTAGAAATCGCCCGATATTGAGATAGTAAAAGTATCGTTACGCTGTTGCGAAGTGGCCTTTCTCCGTCTGAAATAGTTTATGTTTCGAGGAAATGCGTTTCTTAACTTTATTCTCTAGTTAAGCAGTTTAAATTTATATGGCCATAGTTTGATTAAAAGTATTAAGTATTCATATTTCCTTATAATTTTTCCTTATAGTTACGAAACAGGAAATGTATGGATAAGCCATAGAAGTTAAATTATTAATGTAGAATTGAAACCAAAGGGCAATATGCAAATATTTCAGACGTATCATATTAATGAGAAAGGAATGAAACTGACGTTTTTGAATGTGAAAAGTGATTTTTATACACCATTTAATTACAGACCACCTTCAGTTCATAATGTATCCCAACACTTTATTCATGTGTGGCAATTTTCACATTTAACATCCAATGAAGCCATTTTATTGATAAAAACTGATGTGATGATGAATCTATGCCTAGAGAATAACATAAAATTCCAATAAACGTGTATTGGAAATTTATTGTTACTAACTTATTAGATTGAAAATTGCCACGACCAAGATAACAAGGTATGTGTCCAATATACAAAAGAAAAAAATCTGACATGTAAGATTCTCATATATTGCCGATACATGTAGCTCAGCCAGTGACGTAGACACCGTACTTTCGAATGGTTCATAACGGTTCACATTGCTACGGTTCACATTGCTACACAATACTGTCAGAATACCATGAAAAATAATGACTTTCGCATTTGTTCTCTAGTTTTCTTGAGCTACAAAAGGAATGGAAAACATCCTAAATCCTACAAATCACAAGTACATGAGGGCTATTTTCTCAGCCACCGAGATAACTGCATAATGAACACCAAGTCGGTCCCGAGTTAGGGAGATTCACACCTTGCAAAAGGACAAGATTATTTCACCTCGGTTAAGTGTTGAAGAAAGGAAGGGCAAACTAGACCATCTAATTCCATTTAAATAATTAACTTCTAATTGTATATTCTCTCTGATACTATGTCATCTGGTATACCTAGTGCAAACACCTCCCACCTCCACGAAAACGGCACCGCAAGTAAGCTACGGGAAAGAGAGACAATACATATTATAATTATTATGGTTATTTTTGTATTATTTAGAATGGTACTGTTTTCATCGGATATCGTAAAAAATATTATACATGTCACAGTCAATTGCCATTTGAAGTGTAAGAGCATTCTGAACAACATTCGTCGTTCTAAAACTTAGTAGATGAGTGGAAATGGTTCGGAATTGTGACGGTTCAGTTTGGTGCTAACGACAGATACTCAAAATTCAACACATTCTCTTGTTTCACAATTGGACTCTGATTGGACTCTGTCTACCAACACGTGGCATCATGTGAATTTAGCGTAAAAACAAAATTTTCTGCTACAATATAGAACCATTTCATTTGAGGTGTCCACGTGACTTGATCATTGCATCATGCGCGCCCTGTAGACTGTTGAGCATCCAATCTTCGTGGTAGAGTATCATTTTCCGGTGTAAATCTATGGTAACGGTAAAGTTAGCGCATGCATAAAACCTATAGAACCGGTGTGTACGTAAATGTTGCTTCAGGCTGAACAAACGCTCATTTTAGAGCTCCTTTGAGCTGATAAATTTTCTCTCGGAGTTCAGATCTCAAAGGAGGACGAACGAATACTAGCATCTACGCAACGCCCGGGATGTGGGCTTGTAGTTCCCCGGAGCAACGCGAGAGCGCACCTCCTCTGCTTCCGGTCGCTCAAACATTTGCTTTAGCCGCCGCCGCGACAAGCCCTTCTGGGAACCTGGTGTTTACCTACCCCGGGAATTAGCGGCACCTCCCAGAGAACATAATGCATTCGCCCGACTCGGGCGTCAGAAAAGATGTTGTGCTTCTGATTGCGACCTCGCCGAGGGCTAGGACGTTGACTTAGTCGCCTTTTAGATCTGACTTCACTGATCGTTATACTCGCTACATGTGGAGGAATATTAATATATTTCACACAATCAACGCACCAAATACAACCAACGTAAATAATGTTCAAATTATAGCTCAATGAATTCATTTGATGATATATTTTATATTATATAAAAGTATTAACTTATATTGACAGTTAAGAGTTAATAAAAGCGGGGGATCTCTACTTTTTATGTTGAGATCCTGTGTAGCTCACAGTCTACGAAATGCAATGTTTAAATGGAAACATCTGAATGTCAACAACAGAATACAACAGGACAATTCCAGCAGTCGGCTGCTCTCTGATCGGCAATATTCGTGGTTTCTCTGATGAACTTCATTCGAATCCCGCGGCAGTACCCTAGCCACGTACCGCGCGCGATCATTCTTTCCTCTTCCTTATCCTATCCTCCCCCTCACACCCACACAAATATGCACTATTACACGTTTCGGAAGATCAGTCGGAATCTCAGATCTCGTTCCGGCTGGGAGGTGCCCCGGCGGAGGAAGATACCTGGTTGGGGAAAA